GTCCCCCCCCGCCGCTGCGGTTGCCGGGAAGCAGGCTTTGAAGAGATACGTGCCGATCTAGGAAGCCATGGATTAGGTTATCGACAATGGGGATGGTGGTACAAATTAGATTAATATACTTTCGAATTAATTGTCTTTTTCCCTTTTTATTTATTTATTACTTTTTAGTTGTTGCTATGGTGCTATTGATTTCATGTTGCAGTTATTATTTGTAAACCCTCTCCGTAAGTTCATGTATTTAATTAAAGCACAGAAGTCACCATGAATTATTGTTGAGTAAACACATATTACTTATTGAATTTGGAAAATGCCTCCGTAAAATTAAGAGATTATAAAATTTAATTTTACAAATTCTTCATTTCAGGTTTCAAGAACTTGTTTACTTTATTCTTGTTATTACTATTGAGTGTATTTCTTGTGGTCCTCTGGAGGTTATTAGATGCAAATCCATGTAAAAGTAAAATGGTGTCGTGTCAACTCTGTAAGGTGCAACATGTAGCTTTCTAAATTCTAAGGTTTACAGTAAATCAGTAACAGAAAATTAGCAACCCTGGAAATTCATAATTATCACTACAGAGAACACGTGTTTATAAGTAATGTGTTCATCACAATAGACATTTAAAGTCTTACAAACTTTATCATTGATTGTGACTGGTTTACATAGTTCTTGAGACAGTTATCTTGTGCCATTGTTTCGCAGCGAATTCTGTGTTTCGTCTTACTGATCCAAGGTTTCATGGTAGATTGAATATGATCTATAGGTTTCCTGTTTCTCTAGCGAGTCTTCTACTTCAGAAATGGCTTGTTAGTTTCTGTTTATTTTCAAATTTGTAAACGAAGCTTCGTCGCAGACTTCATTTTGAATCTTGGATAAATTTTATTTAATTCCTTTGTGACAGACAGGTTAGAAAGGTAGTCTTTGTTACCTTTTTCATGTGATTAGAATTTAGAAGTTCCAGATGAATGTGTTAAAGAAAAGTATACCCAAGAATGTGAGTGACCTGACAATAATGTGTTAGTAACCAGACATTGCATAAAACCCAATAACAATTGTTCCAATTTCCTAACGTTACTCTAAATTTCTATTATAACCACAACTAGAGTTAAATTGATTTCTTATGTGAGTTGTAAATCTTATATTCGAGGGTGTGTTTTTTATTCCAAAAAATTACATTTGGACAACTAAAATACTATTTGACAACCAGAAAGAGGGAGATAAAAGAGAAAAAGATATGATTGGTTAAATGAGTTGAAATTGGTTTAAACAATGATCAATATGATGAAAATGAGCTAGTCTATTTATTACGGGAATGCGTTTTAATCTTGTGGGGCACAAAAGGCGGGTTTTCAAACCTTGTGGGCTTTTACGTTTCATGGGTCAAAATTTTCTATCCTATTATAAACGTAAAACTTACTCCACTGGTAAATGGTAACGCTTTCAACTGATAAAGACCGCGTCAACATAGATGGCAGGGACAAAATTAGTAAATTACCTTTTATGATTAGACAAAAAATGCGACAATATTGACATGGGGCACTTCCTATCGATGTGTGCTAGCCGCTAATGGATCTGTGTGTCATAATTTTAAAAGTTGAAGGCTTAACATAAAACAGAGCAAGCAACCAAAATACACTTCTCAATGCAATAATTTAAACTATTGGCCGACAAAAATAATGACAAAATTAATGCATATATATTCACTTAAAAAAATCAACATTAGTAACAAACAGTCCTTATTGCTTGAGGTTCATTAAACCTTAAAAGCAGTAAGGTGCACAGCAAGTTCCAGAATAGATTTTGGTGAGATCTATCTCAAAAAACAATATTAGTAAAAGAATATCCTATAAGATACCTCCTACTTTTTTACATTGGTAGGAAAAAATCCATTTTGCAAACAAGATCATTAGTCCACCAACATAATCAAAGAATATATCCTACACTAGCTATATATTAAACTATGTGCAATGCTTTAGCTCAGTCCACTGCTGCATTGTTGTTGTCAATCTTTTAGCTGGACTAAGTTAGATTTCAACATCAACACGGGTTCTGATGGGCTTGAGCTTAATTCCTAAACTCTCTGGGGAGAGAAGTTCTGGTGCTATGCATGAATGACTAGAGGGGCTTGCTGGATTTGAGCCATTGCTTGACGAGGAAGCAACATGTATTTGTCTGTGGTAGCCAAAACCCATTAAGAAACACTCTAGTGGTGTTATCATAGAATTTGGGTGCTCTTCTGTTACCAGTGATCCACAAGCCTGAACCTGAGCAAGTATTATAAAGTTATTATCATGTTATTTCTGTCTGTCTTTCTCAACTAGATTTGAGGAGCATCCTGAGTATACCTACCTCAACAAGTGCAGAGATTTTTTTGTTCATTTTTGTGCTCATGTACACAGATTCAGCATGGAATGGGCTACTCTCACCTGCAAATATAAGTGTCTTACATTGCAAGTCCTTCAGACCCTCAGTGAGGTCGTGCCTTCTGCAAGCAGTTAACCACTTTCGTAAAAAATCAAGGAAACAATAATACTTTGCCAAGTTTTAAAATTTTCAGCATTTTACTGAAATTATCCTACGTGGAATATCATATCATCGGACAATATAAGAAATTACATTCTTTTTTCATTTTTTCATTTACATGCCATTATTAGAATTTGGTTCTCCTGTAAAATAAACTGTATGAAATAACAACTATTACCAATTCAAATTCTAGTAGTAGAAAATAATTTTTTTAACAACTTGCATGAATTTCATGCAAACCACCAAAATATGCTATTGAATCATCTGAAGAATATTTGAAGTACCATATTTATAAGAAATCCAACAAGTCAAGGAGAAAACCATATGAAGATATTGTCATATGTGGAAGATAATGTCATAGGACAATATCCTAATAAAAAGTAGCGTTCTTTTGTCATATTTTTTCATTTAGATGCCACGTTAATCTGCCAAAAATCGAAGAAATCAGTAGCCACAGATTAGAAATTGGTTCCCCTGTAGAATAAGCCGTATGCAATACCAACTATCACCATTTCAAATTCGAACTGTAGAAGAGAATTTTCTAACAACTAGTATAAACTTGATAAGCAAACCACCAAAATATACTGTTGATATTTGAATCATCTGAAGAATATTTAAAGTATCAACAATAATAACAGGGACCAGCAGTTACATGATGGTTGTATACAACGGTTCACATGAATTAAATACCTACGGGGAGAAAATACAGGAACCAGGAGAAAGTAAAAAAATACAATCAGGTTTGTCAAAAACATTATAACTTACGCATTAATTGCTTGGAGAAATCGCATAACGTTTAAACTTTGCCTTTCATCCAGAAGCTGTAATTATAGAACAGAAAAGACTATACGAGGTCAGAATTCTACAGATATAAATTATGCATTTATTCAAGGCAAAATATATGTATTAGCTGTAATTGAGATGTTCATACCCTTCGGCAAGTTAGTATTATGTCTGATTCTGCTCCCTGGACACTGCACCTAAGTTCCTACAACAAATGTGGAGAAGTAGTGTCACATACAGAAATGATTCCTTCCACCTTCATAAGTTAGGGGAAAGAATGGGAAGATTACCTTACTGAAGTAACGCTGCAGAAGGCATTCCTTCAGTAAACCGCACATACCATAGAAGTATAATAAGTTCATTAAGACCTGCATAAATGGATATAGAAAACCTTAGGTATATAGAGATATATCCAGAGAAGTATTGTTTCACTAATTTTCAAGAGAATTCAAAAGGATGTGATAATAGAGTTATAGAGAGATTGTTACAACTGAATTAGCAAAGCTATGAGGATTTGAATTTAAAACTAATCCTAATCAAATGATAACATAACATTATACATTTTGAATGAGTAATTTAATTTGAATGAAACTCAATCGGTACAGCTGGAGTCTGTTAATACTCCAACAAGGTAGACCTTATTTACAAGGGGAATGAATTTCCTTTTTCTTTCCATTGCTTTACAACTTATTAGATATCTGAGGAATTGTGATATGAAAGCCAATGATACTGGCGCAGACTTTTACTGCTATGTCAGACACACGTGTGACCAAGTGTTCGTGTTGGTTTGCATTTGCTGTATACTAAAAAGGTATGCATATGCATCCTTGCCAGTTAATGGATTACTAAAGTCCTTAATATGGTTACCGATACTTCAATAGATAACATAAAAGCCAATGCTGACAGAGATTAAACCTTGTTGTAAAGCCATTCCGTCCATGAAGGAGATTTGCAAATAGGTGAAACAAGAATCAACCCAAGCACTCGTTCTTTGTATTTCATCTGCCAAATTCGAAAGACCACGAGGTTTACTATACCGTATTGTTATAGTGGATAAAATTATAATTCACAAATGCCAACTTACAGCAAATAGAGTGAGGACGTAAGCACCAGCTGTTACACCCAAGCACAGAACCTCCCTTAGCCTGATTTAAGAGGGTTTTGGACAAGGGTTAAAATCCTAAACAAAGTAAGAATATCAAAGAGGCTTGTTTCAGTAATCTAAAAATGTATTCAATAACAAATACCCTAGTTTCTTTACATAGACATAGGACTTATTTAGATAAAATTTTCCAGCTACGAGATAAAAAATAAGAAGAAAAATGAAATAGGTTAACCTAAAATTAGTTTATGCATAAATTAATTTGTAAAAACCCTTGTATTAATTTTAACTTGTACATAAGCTAAGCTTAAGAAGAAGCTTATTATATGTACTCACTTCCCATTGTTTAAATTATCTAGCCATGCACAAATAATCTATTTATTTGTACTGCATGACATCAATAGTTATCACATTCTTCCAGTTAAAACAATACAGGAATAGTCTCAGCAGAGGAATACTTTGAATAACTGACGCTCTACATACCCAAAGAAATCAAGCACTTCAGCAATCTGGTCAGCTAGGTCATCCACGCAAAGCAATGGTTCATCTGAAGAAATGACATCAGCTCCCAACTGCAATAACTCTTAAACAAATGATAAAAGAGTCAAATTATACTCTAGGAGAGGAGAGCACACCCTTGAACTTTTATATCCAAGTCAACTCCGGGATATTTAACAGCTAAATCACAAATATTTCATGATTCCTTAACATTCAAACATGTTATGAAAAGGGACACCGTAACATAGATAAGGCTATATGTTCATACATGTCTTGGAAGGAAGGGAAGAATGCTAATACCGACCTCATGCCCGGGAGCATCAATGTGATAAATGCAGAAGTTGTGAAGCAACAAAGAAGCTGCTTCTGGGCAGAACAACAGACCCTGGAAACAAGACACATCTGCAAAAGGCCAAAATCAATTTGTGGTAATCATACATCCAATACAGGAATCCAAGATTGAAAAAACAAAGCTGCTTTGCTTCTAATCCTAAACATTTTCACCAAACCACATAGAAAAGACACGGAGCATCATTCTGTGAGGAAATTCATTCATATTCATATTGAACTTGAATATATACAAAAATAAAAAAAAAAAAACAGAAATTTAAACAAGAAAGTTACAATTGAGAGCGACGTCCGGGTAGGTTATTAGAGCGGGTTTTTCTTGATCCCCACAAACAAGCACGGACACAGAACCTCTACTTGTTTTCACCGTGCATTCC